TAAACGGCCATCAGTCTTCAGAAGTACAAAATCTATGCAATGATGCCATACAACTGAATGAACAGAATTATGGTAAACTACAAATCATTTAGTACACATCACAACCGTATAATTGAACGAAGAGACTGAAATATGGTAAATTCACTGCAACGACGACTGAACAGATCTGCAAACAGGTTATAAAACACATCTGATCTGACATATTCAGATCAGACATTGATGCGAGAACCAGTTGAAAGGTATGCCTTATCAAAACTATTTCGACATACCCGAAAACTATATTATTCAATCAAAAAGCGAAAATGAAAATGAATTCTTCATTCCACTGACGACTGAACAGAACAGTGCATACGTGCTGACAGAGACCGCGTATGACATTATCAGATATGATTGTAGTGATCGTGAAATAGAGAGTAACAGCGGACTTCGACTCAGTGCTCCAAGCAAACAATTGATATACCGGCAATTAATTGACATTAACCGCAGGGCAACGATATTGAATAACAGAAAAATGAAGCATCGATAAAAATCAACCACAGATCGTATGCACATGAGGAATGTAACGTAAAACAAAGTTCAATACTGGAAAAACTTACTTCACCAAATACGCAGCGAACTCTGCTTCAGAGACCTCGCCACCCCACAAAGGAACTAAACCATTGCAACGAGTGTTCGCGTTTTGAAGCATGGCACTCTCCCATTCATCTCGGCCCCTCGCGCTCCTAAAGTCCAACAAAAAGTACAGTCTTTCAAATAACGCGACAAACTGCCTTGGTGCAAGAAAGTTATTACATTATCCGGTAGCACTGATGCTAGCACCGCTACATTAACTGATTAGGCAAGGGTTCCGTTGCCACAATCGTAACAGATAACTATGCCTGTTGTGATAATCATCCTGAGCAGCCTGCATTAGCAAAATATTGCCGTGGTACGATGTGTGAGGTGTTCTCACCTTTTCAACACGATTGTAATAATGCACTGGTTGTCGCATCGCAGGAGCAGCATATCCCTGAAAGAGATCCGCCCCACCTTGTTCATCATGCTGCATTCTGGTATCTTGGCCAATGACTATCGCATTTTGCTTTCTCCACGAGAAACTCAGAGCAATGCATTTATTTTTAGTAACTGTCGAACAGGATCGACCGCCATTTTTTATTCATTCAGATCGTCTGAGGACAGATGCTCTGAGATGAGAACAATCATTCCTTAGAGGGGCCAGCCATTATAATGTGTGAAGGGCAACGCAGTGAAATCGCCTTTCTAGGTATATCGCTCGGAACCGGTGTTTCTGCCTTACAGCGACAGTAATCTCGTAGAAAAATGGCACATGCGAGAATTTATGGAAAGGAATATTCCTTCTCTCAACAAAAAATTAACAGGTTACCAAAAATAATATAAGCAAGAACGATCCTCCTATCTATCTGTAATTGGATGATACCGTAACTTGAGATGATGAAACTTCAATCGAGCAACCTCCTCTACCGTTTTAATTCCCCGTTCCAGTCGCAAATTGGCTTTGCTAGATACGTTAAAAATAACTTTTGATTTCGCTGGGCGCTAAGAAAGAGACAGCGCTTCGTAAATGTGTTGCATACGGAATTTATAGGTGACGAATTCGATCACCCTACGACTAACCAAAAAAATATCACCCGCGTACTCAAGTTAAGTGAGTGGCCGTATAATATGAACTATATCTTTCCTTTAGAACGAGACCCTCCTCTTTCAAGCGTTAGCACTGCTTAAAAAGAGAAATAGAGAAAAACGTTGAACAGCAAAGGCGAGAACGCATCGCCTGGAGAACATCCTTGTTAATGGAGAACGACTCTGTTCGTTCTTCTTCAACTTTTACAGCAGATACACATCCTGTGTACATCTCTGCCAAACTAGACACGAAGCACTGGTTTTCTATAGCAAGTTAAGATTTTTCACGCTGTTGGAAGAATACCAAACCAAACGCAGCTTTAAAGTAGAGGAAAGTGGAAAACTATAGCAGTGGGAATCTTCGGCGTTGCTCATTGATTCTACAAACCAAAATTTGGCCATAGCAATAGTATACAGTATGAAAGTCTGCTTTATTTGGGTAGTTCCAGCCTCAGATTTTCCAGGATGATCCAGAAGAACAGTTCCTCAGGAATTAACACTAGTATGATATTACGATAGTTGGAACGGAAGAGTCGGTTGCTAGTTCCGCCTTAAATGAAGACAAATTACGCCACACTTCTATTCTCCCAACAAACATGGCACATGAGCGTTTAAAATGGCTTCCAAAGGCATTAAATGAAATGTACAGTACACATAATGCGAATAAAACCAAATGACTGAAATGATGAATTTCTTAGCAACTTTAATCAAATCCTATTTATGTTGCGGAATGAAAGTGAAAACAAGTAATAGATAAGGACGAATGCATGTTTCAAATAAGCCTCTAGGCCGAGTCACGAGAGAAGGAAAAGAAGTTCCTCTCTTTTCGTTCAGTGGTTTTCATTACAAAAGGATTCAGTTTTGGGGTAAACATGAAAGAAAGTATCCCAGCAAAGTTACGTAAATGCTACTATCTCAATAATTGCTAAACGAGGAGACGTGAACGACGTTAAAAAACGAACATGAAACAGCTGCCAGTAACAGAGAATCATTAGAAATACACAACAAATGCATAACACTGATGTAAAAAACTTAGCAGGAACCAATCGGTCTCATCAATGAGATTCGTTACCTAACGGCAGTTTGGTGACATTCGAAATGCACGATGTTGAAATGCGTGACGGTGGAATAAGCATTGGTTTTTCTGACTTTATGCTCGAATTCATCAGCGTGAACCATTTTCGTGAACGTGTATATTGCAAGCAGCTACAAACAACCCTTCAGTAAACACGAGACTCAAAAATATCGTACCTTAGAAGGTGCTGACTTGTAGCCCTCACGACAGATAGAGCAGACTAACTTGCCTTCATCCTTTAACTCTCCAGCATCCTTCAAAAGTCGTGATCGAATCTTCACTTGGCCACGATCACCGACCTGCAAGGCACATTCAATACTTTTACGGAAAAAAACAAACAGCGAACGCCGAGTTTCAATAACTGGATTCAGCCGTCAAACTTGCATGGAAAAGTGAGGTTCACACATGACACACGTTGCAATAGCCAAATTGAAAACTTTAAAAAAACAATATCATCTGAAACAAGGATGGTTCAGTAGCTACGCAGAATTCAGTTTATAGCAAACAAGCGTCACACATCATTTAATGTGCCCATGTTCATCCCTGTTAGGGTAAAATTGCACTCCAAAGATATTTAGCCTATCGTGAAAGAGTGATGCATGTGTCAAAAAAGACAGTGTCGCACAACCATGGATACTAGAATAACAGTTTAAAAAATTCTACACAATAGTTAATGCTCAGCATGAAATGGCATAAACAGGATAATATAGACATTAATCAATAAAAGAAACGACTTAAAGCCTGGAGCCGACAATCTCCAACTG